ATTCACTGTTATACCAAATTTATAAATAATATTATAAATTTCATGATTCACTGTTATACCAAATTTATTAATAGTATTATAAATTTCATGATACCTATATGATTCCCCCAATATTCCTTCTCAGATAAATACAAATTTTAGTATTTGCATTCAGACTTCATAGTCTTTTCCCCCTCAACGATTTAGAATTCGAAGTATATATTTCGGAATTTACATTTCTTTTTTTGAAGTATCATATATATATATATATATATATATATATATATAAACAGACACACACATTAGAACACATGCTGGGAAATACTTTCAGGTTCACTCGGCAAGAAAGATGGTAAGGGGAAAAAAAAAGCATATTTAGTCATCTAACTTGAAATAAATTTTTAGTTTGGTCTCCTAATTTTATAAAATCTTTAGTCTCACATAATAATTTTGCGTGCCAAGAATTATTATTTTTAAAAATTAAGCTTAATATTTTTAGCGTTTAAAATATTTTATTAATTGCACAGAGAATAGCGTATCACTTGTAGCGTTTCGTGTTCGATGGGCATTAACTATTTACCCAATTCATAGCAATTTCCTGAGGAAAAAAGTAATAATTCAAAAGCAATGGGAACTCAGCAAGGTTGTTGAGACAAAGTTATAATTAATGCAATTATTTTACTGTCTCTCTATGCTTATGGGTTGATGTTATATATGTTGTCCACGTCTTTGTAATACTTTTATTGCAACAGTGGTAGTCATCAAGTATTAATCCCACTAACAAGGATTTGAGGCGAAGACTGGGAGAAAAAAAGGGTCAGAAGACTTGGAAAAAAGATTGGGAGACTCCTGTGAATTAGTCAAGAAAATAAAATTAAGAAAGTAACCTTTGCAAATATATTTTTTATTTTGAGAAATTGGAAAGGTTAAAATCACCATCTTACCCTTATGGCTAGATTTTGTGCACAACAATGAGGAGATGATTATTGTTTCGGGTTACAATGATAAGCACTATGGTATTGATTATTTTGTTAAGATCCAGACTGTGCAAAATTATTTTTTTTATTAATGCAAATTTAAAATTTTAACTTATAATTTTGTATACAAAAAAAAATTTATTTGAGAGATAGCTGTAAATTTATTTTTTTATTTTAAATTCTCTATCTGTTAAACAATAATTCATTAAAAGTACACAAATAAAATCATATTAAAGTAGAATTAGAGAGTAGCTTTCTTAAAACAAATGAGTTAAACACAAAATGAAAACTTTAATTTGTATGCGTGATTATGAGTGACTTTTATGGCTTAATTTGTGCGCCACATACTTGTTTCAGACAAATTTGTCCTGAGTACGTTGATGAAAACTTGGAAGCAAGCAACTGGGACTTCATTATTTCTGAAGATTAATTGAGTTTATATAACATAATTTGGAAAAATACAGAAACAAAATAAGATATATATATATTAATCATTATTTAGGAGAATTTTTTAATTTTAAAAAGTTTAGATTCTAAAGGAAACAAACATTCTTAATAAAATCAAAGGGTTCAATTTGGTTAAATAATTAAAATTCATTCAAAATAATCACTTTAACGTCTAAAGTTAAGAGATTAATATTTAAATAAACAAAAATTAAATTTCATATTTAATTTTCATATAACTATGACCATATAATTAATGAAAAATTTAATTGTTAAACTACACAAAACTAACGAAAAAATTGAAACGCATGAACTGCGCAAAAAAGAACAAGTTTGTTAGGAACGGCTCCCAAAAAAGGTTGTTAGGAGTATTGTCTCCAAAAGCACATTTCGCTTAGTTTTCGAGTGCTCATTCCCTGCCCATCAAATTGATGAGTATAGAATGCTCATCGTTTTGGGCTTTGGGGGATGGGTATCCAATATCCTAAAATAATTTTGTAGCAAAACTCAATATTCTGGATTTTTTTTAGTACATATCGAGTGTAATTGAATAATATTTTAGAGTGTTAGATACATAAAATTAATTTAGTGATATTGAGTGCCACTAAAAAAATATTCAGATATTAGATATTTGTATTATAATTTTATATTATTATACTCTTATATTATTCTATCTTTCGAAAATAAAAAAAAAATCCTTGTACTAAAAAAAATAAAGTGATAGACTGTTATTTGGAGGAAAGATATTGGAAAGAAGGTCGGAAGACTTGATGGCCGGAAAAGGGGGTAGGAAGGCTTGGCAAAAAGGTAGGAAGACATTTGTTGGGGGGGATAAGACTCGAAAAAGGACGGAAGCTTGAGTGAGAATAACGTATACAAATATTGCTTGTATTTCTTGTATGTTGAATTAAAGACAATAAATATTGGCCAAAAAAAGAATTAAAGACAGCAAATAAAAATATTTTTTTTCAAAAAAAATCACTGATAAAAAGAGAATGAATAGAAAAAAATATGAGAGAGTATGTGTGTCTGGCAAAAAAAAAACAGAGAATAAATTATTAATCAATATAATGAAGATAATATACTCCTCCGGTCCTTAATAGGACCCAATTCTTGAGTTAGTTTTGGTCCTAATAAAGACCCATTTCTCATATTTTCAATTTTCTCTAAATTACCCTTATAGATACTCCCTCAACTATAATCAAATAGAAGAGGGAGAGGGGGTATTAAGAAGATTATTTATGGTATTTTAGAAAAAATGTGTCACTTTTTTTATAATTAACCAACTTACCTAACTTCCTTAATCTAATCAATTTGTTAAATGGGTCTTATATTAAGAACTGGAGGAGTAAAAATTAAAAAAATTAGTTAAATAAAACCATGCTTATCCAAATACTTCTTCCATAGAAGGAGAGGGAGCATTCTTGAGTGGCAGAATATTTCACTACTTAAAAATTTGTCATAGACTAATGGGGGCATTAACTAATAACTTGATGGACGTCTTTGTAATGAGTATTTTATTACATAGCAATTTCTTGAGAAAAAGTAATTCAAAAGCAATGGGAAGGGATCCTGAGACAAAGTTAACTAGCTTCAACCCTTTTCAATTTCTATGCTTGTGTTGGCTTTATGTCGTGGACGTCTTTGTAATTAGTATTTTATTACAAAAGTGATTCATCAACTACTACTCCACTAACAAGGATTACTCCTTTCCCCCACCGTGTCATTTACTTCTCTTTTTCTCATATCTTCCCATTTTTATAGGGAGAGACGATCATTTTGGATTTGCGGCAAATACGAGGAAAAGAAGCTCGGAAGACTTGAAAAAAAAGGTTGGAAGACATCTGTGAAAAGGTTAAGAGAAAAAAACAAGAAAGAGTAAGCTATGCAAATATTTCTTGTATTTTGAGAAAATTACGCAGAGTTTTTCTTCTATTTTTGAGAATTAATGTAAATTCTCTTAAATTTTGCTAAAATTATACAAACATGCATTTTATTTTTAAGTGCTTTTATACCTTCCTTAAAACAAAGATAATAATCATCATATCAATCTTCTTCAATTTTTTTTAATCATAAAACCTCCTATCCAGTCTCCACTTTCAAAAGTAACTTATCATGAAAATAGAAGGGAATTAAATCTTGAAAACCATTTAAAACAAGTCCGTGTATTTTATCTTTTGCTTTTTTTGGAATATTTTTATAGATTTTGAAAATAAAGAGAAATTTGTGAAAAAAAATTGGAGGAAAAAATTCGTGCAATATATTTTTTAAAATTTTAGCTCGCTGTACGTAAAATTTTCCCCCAAAAAAATATAGTTTCAACAAAATTACAAAAAAAAAATCATGTAATTCTCCCTTGAAATAAATAACCAAACATCAAGTTCACCATATATAAACATTGCTATAGATATATAACAAGCACTCACTTGAAGAAACAGATTTCATCGCTACTTCGTCTCTTAATCAAACAACCATCATGATCATTCTTCGTTTCACATCACAAATATGTCTCATTTTGTTGGTGTTGCTATGTGCAGTGAGATTCAACACAATCATTTGCTGCCATGAGAGGGATCGAAGTTCACTGTTAAGCTTCAAACAAGGCGTTGTTGATCCCTCCAACCGCCTCTCTTCTTGGTCCCCTCCCGAGATTGCTGTCAATGGGAAGGAGTTTCATGTGACTACGACAATAGAGTCGCAGCTCTTGATCTGTCAAGCTACAATCATCTAACATCCTTGGAGGTGAAATCAACTTATCTTCTTTACTTGCACTTGAATTTCTTGAAGTGTTGTATTTGGACTCCAATGACTTTGAACGCATAAGCATGGGTCTATCAATAATTCCTTCGCAACTCGAAGTCATTTGCTAGCAAATTCTTCTAAGCTTTCTCAACTGAGTTTATCAGACAATATTCATCTTCACATTGATAATCTTCATTATTGGCCCTCTCGACTTCCTGCCCTAGCTGCTCTCGATCTCAGTGGTATTCATCTTCCTAGTGAAACAAATTGGGTGCAATCGTTGGCCTTTGCTACCTCTGGAGAGATTATATTTGCATGACTGTAATTTGACCAGCTCTATTCGATCTCTCCAATATGCCAATTTTAGCTCACTTTCATATCTTGGTCTTGATCTAAATGATTTTGGACATGGATTACCTAATTGGTTGTTCAATCTCAGCAAAGATCTCTCCGATCTTCATCTCAGTCAATGCAACTTGAGAGGTCAAATTCCAGACTTTTCAGGCTATCCGAAATATGAATTTCTTAGATCTATCTAACAACAAACTCGAAGGATCAATACCTGATTGGCTTGGCCAGCTTGATGGATTAAGTTACCTTGATCTATCTAATAACTCATTTAACAGCTCTATTCCTTCTAATATCGTAAACGAATCATCATCTTTACGATATTTGGATATTAGCTTCAATGAGTTGAGTGGTACACTCCCAAAAATCCTTGGCCATAATAATTCTCACAGCCCAATTAGAAAGCACATATCGGGCTTCTGGCTATCCGGTTTGAAAGTGTTTATGTCATTTAATAAATTCACAGGACAGCTTCCTCGAGTATCAGATGGGGTCCAAGTTTTGGATTTATCTTCTAACTTTTTCTCGGGACCTTTATCTTCTTTGTTGTGTCACAATGAAAGTAACCAAACTGTTTTGGAGTATTTGGACCTATCAAATAATTCTCTCACCCAAGAACTTCCAGATTGTTGGGACAATTGGAAACTTTTGAATTGTATATACTTAGGGAATAATCAGCTATTTGGTCGAGTTCCATCAACAATGGGTTCATCATTATATAATCTAAGGGCGCTAGATCTACATAATAACAGCTTTTCTGGTGATATATCTTGGACTTTCCATAGTTTCCCATTTTTGGTGCTGCTCAATTTAGGAGGAAACAACTTCTCCGGAAGTATACAAACATTGTGGTTGCCTGAAAATGTAATGGTTGTGGAATTGAGATCCAATCAATTTACGGGCAACATTCCATCACGGCTATGTAGTCTCTCTTTGATTGTATTGGACCTTGCCAATAACAAACTTTCAGGACCAATCCCTCCTTGTCTACTCAACACAACCAATTTTTTAGAATTTCCTGGTGAACGAGATTTAGCAAATGAATTAGCTTTTCCAGTATATGTCATCCCAGCTTCACGTGCATTCATGAAAATTGAGTTGCACACAAAGGGTCAACAACGAGAGTATGATAAAATTCTGAAGTTGGTTCGAAATATTGATCTTTCAGCTAACAATCTATCAGGAGAAATTCCTATACCATTAGTCAAGCTCACTAATTTACAATCCTTAAACTTGTCTTATAATAATCTGACAGGAGAGATACCAGAACAAATTAGAGCGATGAAACATCTAGAATCTCTTGATTTATCCCATAACAACCTTCATGGGAATATTCCTCAGGGTATGTCTGACCTATCTTTTTTGAGTGTTTTGAATCTCTCGTACAACCGTTTTAGCGGACCAATTCCACTTGGAACTCAGATTCAGAGTTTTGATATATGGAGTTACATTGGAAATCCTAAGCTTTGTGGACCTCCTCTTCTAAAGAACTGCACGGTTAAAGAAAAAACAAACAATACAGAGCAGGTTGAAGAAAATGATGATGGTGCTTTTTTGAAGTCATTGTATCTTGGAATGGGAGTTGGCTTTGTCGTGGGATTCTGGGGAGTTTGTGGTTCTTTGTTCCTAAAGAGGACATGGAGGCACACCTATTTTCAATTTGTTAATGGTGTGGTGGATCGAATCTATGTCATCGTGGCCATAAAGCTACGAAGATTCCACTGAATGGACAAATGCTACAGCTTCAGGTTGGTTATAAAGTTATCTTTTTTCCTATTTAAATTGGAAGTTTTCTTTTATAACAATTTTTATTTTTGTACACATTAGTAAGTGTTGTAATGATTTCATTGTTCTTTTTTATTTCTTCCTAAATCAAATGCATAATGAAAGTCAGGGCTCCGTTCATGTATTAATGCAATGTTAATTTCAACAGTTTAGATCGAACTATATTAATCTTTTATTCTAACACAATTAAAATGCCCAGATCTATCTTCAAAATATTTGGGTGTCCAAATTAAATTCATGTTCCTCATTTATCAAATGTTGTTGCTGTTTCAACAGCAGCATTTAGCTTTATGGTCTAAGTTTACGTTTTCTTTTTGCTAGTTAATTGTCATTTAAAAAAGAAACTCATGCTTAGAAGATTCTTGTTGATGCTTGTTTTTCAAGTAACAGGTAGTTGATTCCAGATTTTCAAGACTCACGTGCACCCCAGACGCTTGATTCGATGCTTATGCACCTTTGATTGGAAGGAAAGTTCTGATGAGGCTTTAGAACATTGTGGCAACTTTAAGTATTCAAATGTTTCGATTTGGTGATGTTTTGGAATCTGTGTGCAATTTTGTCATTGTGTTTATTGCTTGATTTGGTCGTTGAGACGAATTTTGTACGTTGGATTTTTCTAGGATGTGGTTACATGTTTTAGTCAATCTCCCAAGTGTTGTTTCTTAGTGAAAAAATGAGTTTGAAAGATGTTATGTTTATTTGAAGCATGCTATTCTTATTATGATGTTCACAATCCGTAGAATGCGACATATAATGAGTATTTAAAATTAAGGTTAATTGCCAGTTTTAAATTGTTTTTTTAGTTTTAAATTGCTTTTTGCCAGCAATTGCTAGTTCTCAATTAACCACCATGTGCATCAAGAATATCATCCCAAGTTGGCATGTGATGAATTTCCCGAGACCCATTCGGTTGGGGGCTCAGCTTGAGATATTGGAAAAGCCAGGCAAGAGAAAATGACCATCTTATCCTTGTGGCTAGGCTTTATACAGACCAAGGCATTCCTGCAAGGGATATGATCATCTTTTTCATCACAGTATGAGATGTGAGCCATCTAAATTGATTTTAACGATCTGAATTTAAAATCTTTAACTTAAAAATTTTTATATAAAATTTCTTTTATCAGAGTGGTTATTTCAAATGATATATCTATTAAAAGATATTTATAAAAAATATGAAAATAAAATCATATTAAATGCTCATCACTCATCCAAACTGATTTCCATCCTCATATGGAGCCATGGAGGGGAGCTCTCCAAAGGTCGGTTGCAAACTTTCATGAGATAGGGGATTCGCTGACGTGATTATTTTAATTTGAGGGATGTCAAAATAAAGCAAGGCCCTAATGAACAATGAAATAATCGAAGAATATAATATTTGGTGCAAGCAAGAACGTAACTGAAGAGGATTGCAATAATAATATTTATATGTGCAACAGAAATAAATCCTCCCCTCTCCCAGGAAACACATGCTTGGACGTGCTCTACTAGCTGAAACTGCGTGGAGACACTTGAATAACCCGTTAAAAAGTGTCTACTTCCCGAAAGATGAATTTGTGGATGCAAAAAATGGCCATATAAGGCCTCTTGGCGGTGGTCAAGTATACTAGAAGGTAGAGACTATCTCTCAAAAAGGACCTCTTCTGGGACCTTGGCAGAGGAAATTCTATAGGAATGTGGGAGGATAAATGGGTCCCAAATATTCTTTTTCCAGAGAAGCCGGCAGACAACCAAAGCTTTATTGTACAACATGGAAAAGCTTTATCTGTGTGTGTATTTAAATTATATAAAATAAAAAAAAAATGATCGTAACTATATTTTGTTGGCCAAGTTCAACCTTTTCCTGCACAATCGCAAAGTGAACATATAACAGAATTGGAAAAAGTGCATAAAGCCTAATGTAGGACTAGCACAATATATATATATATATATATTAATTACGATTCGTTATAAACTTCATATTTTATGTTGACTTTATGAATTTTTCTTTTATTATTTTTTCTATTCTCCTGAAAGGTAGAATATGCCCACCACGGAACTTCCAATATTTTGGAAAAGCAATCTCTTTCTGAAAGCAACCGAAGGGTTTTGCGCCCATTGATCATCATAAGTATCTCAGCATCCCAAGTATGCCTTTTTTCAAACAAAAAAGGAAATCATTTTGTGAAGATTTCTTGTGTTAGGACTGTGACCATGTTTGGCATCTTCCTAGAAACGTAAAATTAAGAAAACAAAAGGAATCCATTAACAAATAATGTTTGGCGCATATAATATTGCAATACCGCAATATAATCAGGCATGGAGTATAGAACATAGTGTGCTTTCCCTCATGATTTGGTTAAATCTCTTTTGAAAAAGTACATGCATATATTTCTTTTTATACCATGCAAAATATGATTCATTTCATCCGTCCCATTCCTTTCATTGTTTCTTTTTCTTGGTCATTTATAACTTTCATTATTCTACATCCCACCCGACCAGCAACCTGTACATTTAGAGCCTTGAGAAACAAGCTTTTTATATTGCAATTCACAACATGTGAATAGTATGACATTATATATAAATATTATAGTCAACATTAATGACTAATTTTTAGATTACCAATGGTATATCATTCCATATGATTCTCAGAGTGTCATTTTAAACTCTTTTGTGTATATCGTGCTTTCAATGAAAGCACCTTTGTTATAAATATAAGTTTAAAGGGAGAACTCAATTTCAGAAGACTAACCTATTAGAAGGGAGTTTTTTTAACTAATGGACCACACTACATTTGTGTGGCTCCTCAGTGAGGAAATCCTTGTGCGTGCATCCATTTTTTTTTTTTTTTTTGGCTCAAGGCTGAGTTCAAGGAGCTAGCAAAATTATAAAGTATAGAATATAAAAGCAGAAGTTAAGAAGCCGGTTGTGAGAGGTCCTATCGAATACGCTAGCCACTTTATTGTAAAATGACGAAGATGAGTACATCCACACACTGAGCACACTTTTTTTTATACTATCATCCGGCTAATCTGGTTCGAGATTCGTGGCTTTCCCTATTGACAAAGATGTCTCTTTTGGGACTCATATATGAGCACACACTAATTAACACTAGTACCTCACTATTTCGCAAAAACAAAGGATTGGACACATTGAATTCTATATAGCCATTTTCTCATATTGAGGGATTACTATGGGACTTCTCACTTTGTGCTTGTCATCAGTCCAAGTCAACTCTCCAAATGAAGGGTCTGAAGTTTGGGCTAAACTTGATGCCTGCAAAAGAACCATATAGCTCTTCTTTTGGTTTGTCCTCTGAAAAGTCAAAGTTCTTGGAAGAACAACTACCTTAACTCCTCGAGGGGCTTTGACATTTACAGTGTACGTACTTGGAGGCCCAACATTTGTTACCATACGAGTAACATTTACAGGTTTCATACCCAGAAAAGGCAATGTGATAGAAGGGTAATTAAAATCTTCTAGTTTGTAAGACCTTGGACATCTGTATGGCCTATTATAATTAAAGGCTTCAACAACTCTTCCCTCGTAAGCAGAAAAGCATAGCAAGTTCAGGTAATCGGAAGGGCGGAGATCATAAACAAGTCCAGGGTCCATTGCAAGGTTGGGTTTGACAAAGCCTGCGCCGTAATGAAACGGAGTTGCTACTTGACCGTCCTGTTCGTCCAGAATCGGTCTATCGGTGTTATCCAGTATGCTTGCTATAGCAACATAGATTTTTTATACTCATTACAAAAAAAGAACAAGCAAACTGTAAACACGAAAACAGAGACTAATGCATGTTATACCAGTGGTCATGATTGCTGACTTGATCATTGCGGGACTCCAATTAGGATGATGATTTTTTAAAAGACCAGCAATACCAGAAACATGAGCACATGCCTGGAAGTTCCGGATAGAATATTATAGTCAAAGTGAGCTTCATCCGAATCTAGGCCTGTAGGACTTGCAACAGGTGAATAAGCAGCAATTATATCCTGGCCTGGTGCAATTACATCGGGCTGTAAAAAAGTTTTAAAAAAAGAATGTTAAGAAGTTCAATACTTGGTGACTGGGGGAGTTAGACAATGTGAGAATGGATAACCTTGAGGATTGTGGGAAAAATCATGTTGGGTCCCCTTGCTGAGAATGCAGAAACTTTTGGAGCTGGTCTTACTGGTATAATTGTTTTTGCATTATTCATAAATGCAAATGGGTTCCTGCAACATTGGAGAGCTTATAACACAGAGATCATCATGAATAGTGAAATTCATTCTTAGGCGCGCAGGAATTAACCTCTGAGATGACGAGTTCGTGGCAAGGCTTTTGCCCTGATCAATATATAATTAATGTCAATAATCATAATATATAATTAATTCTGTAATCATAACACATAATTAATGTCAATAATCATCATAATAAATGTGAAAGAAGAGAAGCGATACGACCTTAAAGCGTTGGCCATTACTAAGAGTAATATTATTGCTGAATTCTCTGTCTATGGAGCCAGCAGCAATAGTGAAGATCCAAGGCTCCACAGAGGTCACAGTCTGAAGTTGTGGTCCGGTATTACCCGCCACGGCAACAACCACGATTCCTCTGGTAACCGCATGGAAGGATCCTATGGAGATGCCACTTATCAACCAGTTATCAATCTGCACAGAAGCCCCCGAACCAAGCGAAACGCAGAGAATATCAACGCCGTCATTGATGGCTTGATCAAAAGCATATAGCAGATCTTCATCAGTGCAACGTTCAGAACCATGACTCCCCCAGCAAACCTTGTACACAGCAAGACGAGCTCTTGGAGATCCTCCCTTGGCTGTTCCATTCCCATTGTTGAGAACGCTTACTTTTCGAACGAAGTTGCCGCCGGCCGTTGACAAAATATGGGTTCCGTGTCCAGAAAAGTCACGAGCGCTTGTATGGTCAGGGCTCCCGTATTTTATCAGGTACGCTTTGTAGTAGGTTTTTGCTCCAATGAGTTTCCTATTTCATACACATAGTACATGTATTAAATCATTCTTGATCTCACCCGTTTAAACTTCACATCCAGGTCATACTTCTCTTGTCCTATTCACAATGCAGAAAGAAGGTATTTTTATTCCATTTATAAGTCATATTAAGATTTTTTTTTATTTCGTTTATAAGTCATATTACTAAATTTTAAACATAAATATACTATTTTGTCTTTTATTTATTATAGTGTAAATTATTATTTTTTCAGAAGGTGTATGTATTAAACATGACTAAAGTTAAAAAATTATTATATTTTAAAATAAAATTAATATAATTTCAGGTTTTTTTATTTAAGCTCTCTAAATAGAAATAGAGAAGTATATATTTTTAAATTATGAAAACTCGAGTTTTGATCAAACCTGTTGCAAAGAGTTCTGTTGCGTGGGCCAGACAGACTATAAAGCTCACATTTTGATCCACCGCGCCACTTCCTTGGAATGGGACCGTACCCATCATCTCTGAAGCTTCTGGATTCTGGCCACACACCTATATATCCGATAAAACAACTCAATGGTAAAAATTCTCATTTTGGTTGCAAATGTTTACAGATTTATAGGAACTTTAATAGCTTAGTCGTGAAATGAAGAGACATATAGAGAAGTAATATATAGATAGATTTCATTTCATCTGCAAATAGTTAACTACGGGTGTCAAGACTGCCAATAATCACATTTTGACCAAATCTTCCTTTGACCCAAGCTGAGTCAGCTCTGACTCTTCCGTTGCTTTCTT